AGACGTAAATATTGTTCTCAGGGCTCTATGGGGATAAAACGAAATGCCTCCTATTGTGAAAAGAATTAAAAATTGTCCTAAAATGGCTCCAAAGCTTTCTATTCCAAAATATACTCTTAACTTACATGCTAAGGAAAACTCTTGTTTTCTGTCACCACTTTAGTAATTGTTGTCCTGCTTTCTTCGCGATGAATTTAAAAATTTTTTTAAATTGTAATATTGATCTGTATAACTTTCTTAACAATTACCGACACTTGCGGTTCATTTACTTACAAACGTGTAAACACAAATGACCATTTTTCTCGCAGTTGATCCACCACTGGTGCATGATCCACCACTGGTGCAGTTACCCTATATATATAATTTATGTTTTAAATTAATATCTTATTAATATTGTATAAAATTTATCTTAAAATTGAAAAAAGATGTTACATAAAAATAGTTTGTAAGATTTTCTAAAAGCATATATGCAAAGTATTTTGATTTATTTGAAAATAATTGAAAATAGATTTTTCAAGGACGGTGTCGTTTTTCGAAATTTGTTAACTTAATATAATAGAAGATGTTTCGTTTTAAATTAAGAAATGTTAAAATTATTAAGTTAAAAACATTTGATTTTAATGACACTTAAAATTAGACACAATATTATAGGTTACTAACTAAAAATTGAAAAAACAACAATAAATAATAAAAAATAATAATAAAAAATTGAAAAAATCAAAAAATTCTTAAAAAATTGCAAAATAACCCTTTTTCGGGATAAAATTGCAAAATAACCCTTTTTCGGGTTAAAATTGAAAAATAACCCTTTTTCGGGTCCGCTGATGACTACAAAAAAAATAGTCGGAAAAAAATAATTTTTAAAAAACGTCCAGAAAATTTTTCTATGATAGTAAAAAAAATTCTAAATATATGTAACTTGTAGTTTTTTTTCAATTATTTAACTGGAACTGTCTAGTCATATTAACTATTTTTTCTTGTTAAAATAACTAGTCATTTTTAAAAACCAGATACATTTAGTAACTTCTGCTAGAACTTTTTTTCAGTATATATAATATATATAAATATTCTGAAATTTCTTAGAATTTGCAAAAAAAAAAAAAAAAAGTTGAAAATGCCTGAAGGAGCAATTGAAATATTTTTTTTCCACTTTGTATTCCCTCTCTCCCTCTCATATCTTTAAAGTATACGCAATTTGCATACAGGATTTAAATTCTATGCACAAGCAATTCCACTCTTGACTTATTTGTCAGGAATGCACCTGCTGCTGTATGTGCGTTCAAACTACTATATATATATATATATTGCATGAAGAACTTGGTAAAATTTTTCCCAAAAAAAAAAACAAAAAACAAAGAAGAAAAAACAATTGCAGGTATAGGCTTTTATTATACTGTATATAGGTACTATTGATTACCGCGCGCGAGTTCGAAATAATGTTCACGCCAGATAATAAATCGATGGTGCTATATGTGAATAGAGGTGATTTCCTGCAGTCACGTGTGAAAGTAACTTAGGAATCCAGCGCCCCGAAGCCAGTCCCCTGACCTTTGGTGTTGATTTTGTTGGCACGGTGCATGTCGCCGGCTATGTAAACTGCAATGCCAATATGGCTTGGTCGCACTTTACGCTTGAGGCCGAGACCTTCCTCCCAGTGGGAGTAATCGGCACACTGACCAAGTGACGGACATCGTTCTCTGCATTGTCTCGTGCGCGGTGAAATTCTCAATATATATAATTATATATATTTATATATACTTAACGAAACAACTTCTAAGTCCTTGTGCAATTTCCGTAAAGATATCTTAATTTTGATAGGGAGAACAGGGTCAAACAATGACTTTCTTTCAAAAAACAATTATTTCCACTTAATTTAAAAGCTAAATTAACAAAAGAAAACATTCTAATGGGTTTCTTTCTCTCGTATATATTTTAACTCCATGAATCTTAAATATCCCCTTAAAATAATCATTTGTTATTCGATTAACTAAGAAATTTTTATTCATTTTCATTCAATTTTAAAACATAAATAATTGTATTTTTTTATTATAATTATTAAGGTCATGTGGTTTGTTATTTGTCATATATGTATAAATTTTCTCCGCAGGTTTTCTCGCAAAATATTTACTTGATAGATTAAGCTAAAAATTTGTGGAAATTTCAAAAATAATATAAGGCATCTCGCTATTATTTGCTAGAGTATACATTAATATTTCATCAAAAAATTTATTCCTAAAAAATGGTATATTTGAGAAAATGACTAAAATCGAATTGCCGTTATATTAAATTTTCCTCAAATATTCTAATTTTTTAAAAATAATTTTTTTTTGATAAGTTAATACATAACAGCAATTCTTTATACTATTTTTAAGTTCACCATAAAATTTGAGCTTAATCTTTCAAGTATTTTGCGAGAAAACCTTCGGAGAATATTTACATGTAAAATAACAACAGTAACATAATCTTAACGAATTTGATTGAAATATGATGTATGCATTTGGGTCTACTGAAGGCGACAATATAAAAAAGAATTAAAAAATCATTAATTGTTTAATAATTTTTTAATCTAAATATAGAGATCTGTCGGAAATCACGTTTTCTTACATTTGGTGACAAAAATTCTGCAGGGAAGTTTACAGTTGAACGAACTTCCAGTAAGACATTTGTTTATTAATGTATAAGGAAGGTTTTTGAAAAGTTTTAAGCCGATTCATTGGAAACTTTGGAAAATATTGAAGTTTTAAGAAAGCGCGAGCTGCACGGTATATAGAGCGTCACCGCTTTCTTAAAAGCTTTCTTAAAAACTTTTCAGTTTTAATATTTTATTTAATTAAATTATAATTTAATTTTAATTAAAAATTAATTAATTATTATTGTTAACTATTAAAATAATATATTACTTAAAATATATATTTATACAGAAAATAATTTATTTGATACTTAATAATTGTCAAGTCACGGATTTATTTGAATCAAATAAATTTTTTTGTGTGAAATTTTAACATTTACCGACTGAAGCTTGTTGATGCTAATTAAATTAAAAATATAAGTGGTATTAAAATGCATTAGCGCTTTTTAAAAAAATTTTGTCACCGAATGTAAGAAAACGTGATTTCTGATAGTTCTTTATTTATATTAAAAAATAATTAAACAATTGAAGAGCTCGACGGAATAACGATCTATGGCACAATTGAAAAGTTTGGTTATGAGCTTTCAAAAAACGTAAATTTTTTATTAAATTGATAACAACTGTAAGCGAATTATTATTACTAATAGAATTAAAAATAGTTACTAAGTGTGTAATATATAACAATTTACATATACTTATTACCAATTTCATGAAAATTTACGTTTTTTGAAAGCTCATAACCAAACTTTTCAATTGTGCCATAGATCGTTATTCCGTCGAGCTCTTCAATTAATGATTTTTTAATTTTTAATTATATTGTCGCCTTCTATAGACTTAAATCCGTGTGTACACCAAGTTTCAAGTTTACTTTTCTCAAAGAGCATTTAAAAATCAATCTAATTCAACGACCAAGCAAATAAGCTCATTATTCAAACACGTTTTTAACAAGATTTTTCAATTATTTTTTTTAGAATTTTCTTAACAATTTCTTTTGTCATATTTGTGGTTAGTTTGAGGTTGCATATTGATTTATTCTTGGTCTCTTCTGTCGATTATCCTCTCGGATTTATTTCATAACGCCCAACGAAAAATTGTTTTGTTGTTGAGGAAAGAAATTCCCTTATCAAAAAAACAAAAATAATAATAATAATAATAATAATAATAAGGTTACGAGAAATTCTATTTGTTCTTGTTTAAATCATCAATGTTATTAATGACTTAAAAATATTACTCAATTCTTCAATTAAAAAATTTTTAATCCTGACAACGTCATTTTTAATTAATTAAAATATATTTTATAAAATTTTTATTTAGTATTTATTTTGTACTTAAACACACTGAAAAAAATCTATTTGATTCAAATACTTGATTACTAGACTATTATCAAATAAATATTTACTTGAACCAAATAATATATACTTGAATTAAATAAATTGTTTTCTGTATTTAAAACAAATACCATTTAATTGACTCAAATAATAATTATTTGATACAAATAAATATTTATTCGATAATAATCAAGTAACGAATTATTTGAATCAAATAAATTTTTCTTTCAGTGCATAAAATTAGAATAAACTGACAATAATTTCCAAATAATTACATTTAAAAATTTTCAAAAACGAAATGCCAAGAATAGTGTTGGACCAGTTAATTTATAACAATTTTTGAACAGAGAACACTACACGAACGCTACACATTTTTCCCCTCGAATAACGACACGCAAACAGAACAAAGTGACAGCTTCGGCAGCCTTTTCCAATAAATTCAAATATTTACCTTAATAACAAATTTTCAGCTTCAATGAGATTCTTTCAAACTAAATAGCTTTCGGAGATTCTTACTTTCAAGTTAAATAAAAAAATACAACTAAATTTTTTGTAATAAAATTTTTCCAATAAATTAAAATATTTACCTTAATAACAAATTTTCAGCTTCAATGAGATTCTTTCAAACTAAATAGCTTTCGGAGATTCTTACTTTCAAGTTAAATAAAAAAATACAACTAAATTTTTTGTAATAAAATTTTTCCAATAAATTAAAATATTCTAAAAAGTCTGACTATGAAGAATTCTGTGTTCTTCATAATACCCTTTTTTACTTTTGCCCTTATTTTTCAAGTACGTGACACCACAAGCCATTGAGGATAGAATCTGCAAAAAGAAACATTAAAATACTTTGAGCGCTGTACTATATACTAATTGGAATTAAGCCTCTATAATAGAAGTGAAAGCTTTCATGTTCTCAAAGAAGAAGCTTGTTACTAATTTTTTAATTATTAAATTAAGATTAAGATCTTGAAGCGAGAGATTAAAATTCCTCAGTATTTGATTTAGATTGTTAATTGATTAATTTTAATTCTTCTTGTCAGGATGATGAACCACCGGAAATCACCTACTGCGTTGTGGAACAGACGGGCACACTCACGCTTCAAGCGATGACACCAACTTTACCAATGCCATCAGAAGAGGAATTGAACAAGATGTTTTTGGAGCTTGTTGATGAACTGGACCTGACTCAAGCAAACAGACAAGCCGTACTTGCACTTCCGGCAAATAAGAAGTGGCAGATCTACTGTTCCAGAAAGAGTAACGGCACCCTCGAAAATGGAGGAATGAGAACCACTGACCTTAGTGGTGATCCTGAAGATTATATCGAGAGAGTTCGAATTATAGCAAGTGTAAGTTTCAAAACTTGCTCATTTGCAATTCTAATTTTTTTTTCAAAATAGATTTTACTAACTCACTTTTTGCTGATAAAAAAAACTATAGTAGCTCAATAAATACTTTTTGACAAATAAATTTCCACACTTGGTTTATTATTTTAAATAAATAATTTTAATTGATGAATTATAATAAGAAAATTTGAAATATTAAAAAAATAAAAACTAAACTAAACGACATTATTTTTTCGTCTGAAAACAGATTTTAATCTTCGACATTTATTGTATATTAAAATTAAAAAATGTTCAAAAAGTGAGATAGTTGAAAAACAAAATCTAAGCAATAAAAAATTATTCTTCAATGAGAAAAATAATTGAAAATTCTATATAAATTTTTTTTTTCTAAAATCGGGAATTTATTATTTTTCTACAGGCACCATTTCCAGAGGAAGGCGAAGAAATTTCAAATCAAATGCGACAGGTCGAAGCATTAAAAACTGCCCTGAGAACTCAGCCTCACAGTTTTGTTCTTAGATTTATAGAATTAGATGGTTTAAATTCACTTTTACAAGTTTTGGGAACAATGGACCCAGACGCAGGGAACAGTAATCTTCATACTAGTGTGATAGGATGTCTAAAAGCTTTGATGAACAACTCGGTAAGAAAAGTTCTTGGAAATTCTCAATTTTGAAAAACTCTCAAAAGAGATTCATAAAATTGTATTTCTCTACTTTTTTTTTCATTAAAAATGAAAAACATTAATTTCAGAATGGAAGGGCACACGTTTTAGCTCATCCAACAGCCATCAATACAATATCTCAGTCGCTGGCGACTGAAAATATCAAGACAAAAATTGCAGTTCTCGAAATTCTCGGTGCTGTTTGTCTTGTTCCTGGTGGTCATCGTAAAGTTCTTGAAGCCATGCTTCATTTTCAACAATATCACTCGGAAAGAGCAAGATTTCAAAGTATTATCAACGATTTAGATAAGAATTTTGGAATTTATAAAGATAATTTATCCTTAAAAACAGCAATAATGTCATTTATAAATGCTGTCCTTAATTATGGACCGGGACAAGTGACATTAGAATTTCGATTACATTTGAGATATGAATTATTGATGCTTGGCATTCAACCGATTATTGAAAAACTTAGAAAATATGAAAATGAAACTCTAGATAGGCATTTAGATTTTTTTGAAATGGTAAGAAATGAAGATGAAAAGGAATTAGCGAGAAAATTTGAAAAGGAGCATGTTGATACAAAAAGCGCTACAGCTATGTTTGATCTCTTGAGACGAAAATTAAGTCACACTGCTGCTTATCCTCATTTATTGAGTTTATTGGAGCATTGTATTTTACTACCTTGTGAGTATTTTTCGAATTTTATTTCTTTCTGTGACATTATTACATATCTTATTTTAAATTATTTCTTTAATCAATTAATATTTACTAATTTCTAATTAAAAATTTTTCATAATCAATTACAGTGGACTATGGTTCCTATCCGCAACACTGGCTCCTATTTGATAGAATAGTACAACAAATTGTTCTTCAATCCGAAGGAAATGAAGCGGGAACAACTAGAAATCCCGATGTGGCTCCAATCGAAATTAACGTTAAGGAAATTGTTCATCTTCTCGCAAAAGAAGAGGAACTCGTAGCAGCTCGAAAAAAAGCTGAGGAATTGGAGCGAGAAAATTCCGAAATGTCATCGAGACTAGCAAAAAAGGAACAAGAATTAGATATCAGAACACAGGAAAAAGTTAGTTCATTAATTAAAACGAGAAAAAAAAAATTCCAAAACTATTATTCTATTTTCATGTTCATTAAAATCTTAATAATTTTTTTATTTTCCTATACTTTAAAATTTATTTTAAAAATTAAGTTTTCAAATATAGAAAAAAAATAACCTGAGAAATATCGAATGCTAAATATTGTTATTTAATGAATTTAGGAAGATATGGAAGCGAGTTTAGCAAGAGTAAAGGAACGATTGGAGAAAGAAACGTCAATGCATATCGAAACAAAGCAAAGAATTTCGGAATTGCAAGATAGCATGGAAGCACTATCTCGTCAAGTGAATAATGAAAAATCTGAGAGGAAACGTCTGGAGCAATTAGTCGCTTCCGGAAGCCTACCAGATGATGCCAAAGCAACAATAAAAATAGTCGAGGACGAAATAATTCAAAAGGTTGAGGCTAAACCAACTCCACCACCACCGCCTCCACCTCCTTTGGCACCACCACCTCCACCTTGTTTGATGCCTGCTGCACCACCTCCAATGAAGGTATTATAAATATTTATTTCACTTATCTGTGAAAAAATAATCTTTTTTTCAGTGAAATCTCTGACTGATATTTATTAAATTAAAGAATAATAGATGAAAATTAAATTAATAATTCCTTACTTTTTGTTTATCAGGTGGGAATAGTTAAAAATGTTCCCCAACCCAGTAATCCTTTGAAATCTTTCAATTGGTCCAAAATACCAGAGCAAAAATTACAAGGAACCATTTGGTCTGAATTGGATGATTCAAAACTCTATAATATCATGGATTTAGAATCAATTGATAAAATTTTCTGCGCATATCAAAAGAATGGTGTATCAACTGAAGGATCTATTGAAGATTTACGAAATCTTGGCAAAAATAAGAAGACAATGTCAGTTATTGATTCCCGAAGAGCACAAAATTGTACAATTTTATTGTCTAAATTAAAAATGTCTGATAATGAAATTACAAGAACTATTTTATCAATGGATCAACAAAATATTTTGCATATTGATATGGTTGAACAATTATTAAAATACATTCCCTCATCAGAAGAAGCTGCTCTTTTGGATATGAACCAAAAAGAACTTCAAAGTAGAGCTGATTGCTTCTTGTACCAAATATCAAAGTAAGTTTAGTCATTTTGAAAAAATTATTATAAAATAATAATAATGAATTATTTCTTGATGTTTGGAAATTAATTTTCTAATTAAAATTTTCAATTATTAATCTGCAAATTGAAAATGTTAATTTTTTAATTTTTTTTTTGTTATTCAGAGTTCCTCATTACGAGCAAAGGCTAAGATCGTTGCACTATAAAAAGAAGTTCTCCGCCAGTATATCTGAGCTGACGCCAAGAATGCGAGCTGTTCTTGAAGCTAGTCGACAGGTTGCAAGATCCCGGAGGCTTAGGAAAATCTTGGAACTTGTTTTGGCTTTAGGAAATTATGTAAATCGCGGAAATGCCCGAGGAAATGCTTGTGGATTTAGATTAGCTTCCTTGAATAGATTAGTTGATACGAAATCTTCGTGTTCAAAAGGAACAACTCTACTTCATTATTTAGTTCAAATGTTGGAAACCAGATTTAGAGAGGTATTGGATATTGAGGAAGACATGCCCCATGTGAGGACCGCTGCCCGAGTGAGCATGGCCGATCTTCAAAGAGAAGTTGCTAATTTGAAAAATGGCTTGCAAGACGTACAGCGAGAAATTGGTAAATATTTTACTAATATGAGCGAAAAAATTATTTCAACCTAAAGTTAGCTTTATTAATAATTAATGTTAACAAAATTTAATTACTAAAACACAAATATTAATCAGTATTATCTAATGAAATTGAAAGGGTGGCCATTAAAATTTGAAAATAAAATTTATTTGTAATAAAATTTACAATTTGCTCCCGACTTAAAAAAAAACTTAAAAATTTTCTAAATTAAAATTTATGCACCAAAAATTGTGTAAAAACATTTTTAAAATTGTTTTAGAAATTCGAATATTGAGAAAAATATTAACAGGAACGTTCAAAAATTGCGAAAACAGTTGTTCGAAATTAAAAAGGGAAATATTGTCAAAAAAAACATAATTAATTGATAAATTTTGTGGAAAAATGTTATTTGGTCCTAAAATTATTTTGGATAATTTTTGTTTTATCAAAATTTTGATTTGATTTGTCTTAGATATAAAATTATTATTTTGAAAATTAATTTTGAGATAAATTTTTGAGCTTCTCTAATATTTTTCAGCATAATATTCAATTTTTGAAAATTCGTTTATTGAAATATTATACATATTGCATTTTTAAAAAACGTAAAAGAATATTTTAGAATATTTTTAAATAAATAAAATTATGAAAATAATTTAATTTATATTTTATATTTTATTACAGAATTCCATCGCGGTCAATCTCAAGTACTCCAAGGAGATATGTTTTTACCAGCAATGCGCGATTTTCAAGCTCAAGCCACCTGCAGACTCGCAGAGTCTGAGGATTTGTTCCAAGACATGAAAACAAGAGTAAGAAAATATATATCCATTTTAAAATATATTTTTTTTATTTAAAATTTATATTGACAAAATAATATTATAGTTTTTCTTTTAAATTCAACTTCTAAAAACAACTTCACTTTAAAAAAATAAAACTTTTTAAACATATATTTTTAGTAATAAACAGGGTTTTTTTTTTTTTTTTTTACATTTTGGTGAAACAAATTCTCAGTTTTTCCCGATTCATTTTACATTAATAAAAATTACAGTTTTTTACTTCAATTTTTATTAATAATCCAAAATTAAAATTAAAATATAAGAAATTTAAAAAATTACAAAAAAGGTGAATTTTGATAAAATTTTTAAAAACAAGAGAAGTTTAGAAATTTCAAAAAAAAAAAAGAAAATTTACCAGAAAAGTTTGCGAATTTTGAGCCAGTTAATAAAAGTAAATGAATAAATTTTATGAATTTCAAAAAAAAGAAGGAAAATTTGAGGGAAAAATTGTTTTAAAAAACTTAAAATTTGGAAAATGGAAAAATTTTAATTTAAGAAAATAAAAGGTTATAGAAAAAGAAGAATTGAAAAAAATATTGATGATAGGGGGAATTTCAAAAAAAAAAACGAGAATTTGATTAAAAAATCGAGAATTTTTTTCCTGTTTGTAAAAATAAATAAATTTTAAAAATTTCAAAAAAGTGAATGTGAGGGGGAAAAATAGAGTTTACTATAAAAAGCGAAATTATTGTAAACACATATTTTTACTAAAATTCTCGCGTATTTTTCGGGTTTTCCGGTTATTAAATACCCAACTGTATAAATTTATATTATTGAAATGTTTCTTTTTTTTTTTTTATTTTTTTTTTTTTATTTATTTATTAATTCGACATGATAGAGTTGGTTTAACCATTTTTAATTGCTTGGTCAGAAGAAAGTTTTAAACTTTAAAAAGATTCTCCTTTTAATGAGGATTTACATAATTCAACAAATTTTAATATTTTTTAAATTAAGGATAAATTAACTCCATATCTATTGAATTATAATTATAGAAACTAATCAAATAATTCCAAATTGTTTTAATTTTACAAAATCTTAAAATCTTAATTTCAAAATTATATAACATATAATATAAAAAAATTGAAATCCCTTAATGATTAGTAAAAATGAATTAATAAAACCATAATAATTAAGAAGATAAAGATAATTATGGGTGATTTATAATTAATTATATTAATTTTTTTTACAGTTTGACAGAGCTGTAAGACTCTTTGGTGAAGATTCAGCTGGAGTTCAACCTGACGAGTTTTTTGGAATTTTCGAAAATTTCTTACAAGCTTTGGCCGAAGCCAGACAAGATGTAGAAAATATGCGAAAAAAAGTTGAGGAAGATGAGCGTAGGGCAAAACAGGAGCAAGAGGTATTTATTATATTTAAGAAAAAATAAAGAAAGAAGTAGAAAAGAAAAAATACGATTTTAAAAATTTTAATATTTTCGAATATATTAATTAATAGTATTGATTTAATACTAATGATTTTAATTATCGTTTGTAATAAAAATTATAATTACTGTTTTTTTTTTTTAATAATTGTGTAATATTTTTTTTCAGCTAAAAAAACGCACCATGGAACGAAAGAATTCTCGAGAAGGAATTTTAAATAGCATCTCTATCAACAAGAAGAACGAAGCAAATACAAATGGTCAGGGCGATAATAAAGGAGAATTTGACGATTTGATTTCAGCATTACGAACGGGAGATGTTTTTGGTGAAGATATTGCAAAATTCAAAAGATCTAAGCGTAGACCTGTTACACCGAGTAGTCAAGAAGTACGTAGACATAGTGCCCATAGGGAAGATTCTCGGGAACGGCACTAAATATCCATTTAATTTCACACGAACAGATTTTTCATTTCATTATTTATACAGTGTTTGAATCTCATATTTAATTGTAATTCTCAATTAATTACAAATGAATTTTATTTCATTATGAAATATAAAATGAAAAAAAAAGAAATTCTGTTTCGTAAGAAAAAAAATTAATTTTATTTTAAAAGAAAAAAAAAAGTGAAATGAACTTCTAGTGCCAAGACAAAGATTGAAATTCTTTTTTTTTTAAGGGTAAAATATACCTGATGAGATTTCAGAACTATTCCATAGGCTGTTAAAGAGCATATTGACTTGTATTTTTATCTTGTATTTAAGAAGAAAATAAATTAAGCACAAGATAAAAATACAAGTTGGTGAAATATAGTTGTTAAACAAAAGACGTATCACAATATTGAATTAAAAAAATAAATAAATATATATAAAGCTTTGGACTGAATTTAATATTGAGAAATATTAAGAAAGCGTAAAGATAAAGTAGATCGAGAAAAAATGAAGAAAAAAAATATTAGAGATCGAGTGAATGTTATTGAATGACTCTGAATAAACGATTGTATTGTAGAAAAAAAATCGAATGCAAACTCTAGTTGCTCGTAAATTTTAGATATATATGTATAGAAACACGTTAAGAAATAATTCGCATATTGTTTCTACAAAAATTAAAAATTCGTGGGAACAAGAGAGACTATACAATTAAAAAAAATATATATATATAATTTTTTTGTTTTAAATTAGTGAGAATTTTTTCTTTAAATCGAGAATTTAATAACGTGATAATTTAATTTTTGTATATATAGTCATTATGTACCTTTACAATATCAAATTAATTAAAATCTAAATTATTCATTCAAATATCTTGAAAATTAAGGAAAAAATTTTTAATTTAAAAAAGTTACTGTGACAGACTTAATATATAAAAATAGGTGCAAAATAAAAATTTGTCTTGAAGAAAATGAAATAGAATTTTTGATTTTTATGTATATCAATTTAGAGTTATATAATTGTTATTTGATAGCGAAAGTTCAACAGAAACAAATAATCAAAAAGGGCCTATATTGATATTTTTAACATTGATCCAATTGTCAATTTAAGTCTGATTTTTGTATTTCTTTGTACAAGGGGGTTGGTATATAAATTAAAAAAAAAAAACTAAGACTTCTTGCAGTGTGATTTAATTATATAAAGCAAATTTCCGAAATTTTTATCAAATAGTCTATATATTATATATTTGTGTGTAGAGAGACTTCTATAATCACTGTAAAGAAGTTCATGTTTTGTATGTATTTAAGATTTTGTACTTTTGTAAATATTCGATATATATATATTATATAGTTACGTCATTCTGATAAATTCTTTAATTGGAATGTATAATCGATTAATATATTCCTGAACAATTGCTATCATATGTATAATTAATATATAAAAAATATATGTACGACAAATCAAAATGAAGTGTTACTTGTGATCCTAATTTATTAAAAAAAAAATTTTTTGTTAAATTAATGAAATAATTATAAATTTTTTTTTAAAGTAGGAACAAATTTTAAAGCAAAAATTTATTTTATTTGCGAACAAAAAAGACAAAACGTTTCAATTCTGTAATTTCAAATTCTTTAAACGTAAACTAATATGGGATTTTCATATTAAAAAATAATGTAAAATCAAAAAACAGTGGAATTTATGTATATTACTGATTTCAAATTAAGAGTACGAGATATTTAAATCAAATGACTTACAGATCACCTGCAGATTGACTCACTATCATCTCCGCCTGATACTTCCGCAGCTTCTTCCAATTATGTAACATATCTAAAAATCTGAATTTAATAAAAAAAAAATTCATTAACAAATTTGAATATTATTTAATTAATTAATAGTTAACTAACTTTAATGTTATTAAGTTGAGTTGAAATATTATTAAATTTTAATAAAAAGTTGAGAAAAATTATCACTCCAAGTCAAAGAAAAATAAAAAATAGTCAACAATCAATTAATATATACATATACACAAAACAACGTCATAAAAAAGAACCAATATTTTATTTATATTTAATAAACTCTTGATTCATTATAAAAAATAACAATATTTGTATAATAATAGTAATAATATCCTATTGTAGATGTTCGTACCACACATTTTAGGTTATGAGATTCCAAAAAGCAAAAGCTGAAAAATCACTTGCATTTTCCGAATTTTACATTTTATAACAATCCAGAAATTAAAATAAAACAATAAGACAAGTGAAATTCTTATAGCAATTTCTACATAATATAACGCCCTCCAGCCTGGCTTCCTCCACAATGAAAGATTTGATGAAACGAACTTGCGTTGCTTCATAAAATTACTTCTTTTAACTGCGGTTTTTATTTCAAGTTGATTTATCTATTGACACGAACCAAAATTTGCAAATTCTATCGAAATATTTTTCTTTATAATATAGAATTAAAACTAAAATAGGAACTAAAAATTCAGAACGGAAGATGGAAATTTTTCTTTTATGTTCATACCAAGAGTTCATACAACTTGTGAGCAATTTGGTAAGTCAATTTTTATTAAGCCATCAGATATTATTTGAATCTTCATAAGTTTTTTCCACTTTATTAATCACTTCAAAGAATAGATTCATTCAAATAAATATTAAATTTATATATAAATTAAATCTTAATTTGACCTGAGTTAATGAAATATCTATATATTATGTATATCTATATATATTGATTTCCGTTATTGATTTTTCACCCCCCTTTGTATATCGGATTGCAGATCGTGAGGGGCAATATGGCGGCACCGGCAGCAACATGAAACAGGCCCTGGCATGAACAGAGAAGTTTTGCTTTATAAATTCCCATCAATTGAGGAAGAAATAATTAAAATTATTGCTGAGATAAACTAGGTAAATATGAAATTATAATTTATTCAATTTGTTCTATAATTCGCAAAAAAAATTATGTATACAAGTAATTGAGACAGAGTTGCCAAATTATTATAGAATTCGAATAATCGACCTCAATTTTTTTCACGTTTGTTATATATAATTCATGACTATTGTTATTTATAACCATAAAAATCAATTGTTTATTTTATTGAATTGCGATAAAATCCTTAGTTTCAAAGAATTTTGGTAATTTTTGATAAATTTTTTAACCTAAAAAAAATTACCGTTTTTGCTCATCGACCGGAATCGCATATAGGTATCTGGTTGTTTTAATGTATCGAAAAATAAATTTTACAACGTAAAAACATATTGTCGATATTTTTTAATGTTTTTACATTTTGTTTCGAAAGGAATATTGTAACAATAAGATTAATTATTTTCATAGGTTAATCGTATTAATTATTTTCAGATAATTATAACGTCGATGCAATTCACGTTTTTATGATAAACGTTTAAAAATAAAAAATATATTTCACAAAATCTTTTTGGTTTCTTTTAAAATATAAAGAGTTTTTCTTTTTTATAGTCAAAAAGTAAATTTTTATTATTTAGAATTATAAAAATTTGAAAAATTCTTTCATACGTAAAAGTAAATTGTTTTGTTTTTCATAATATTTTTCATATTTCTAAATTATTGTAGCTTATTATATAACAAGTTGTAAATAATAATTTTAAAATATGAAAAACTAATTTGCCTCATTTTTCTCCCGATTGGAAATAAATATAAAAATATTTTTATAAATTATAAATATTTAAATAATAATAATATTATTATTATTATTATTATATTATTTTTTCCATTTCTATACATTATAATTTGTTATGATAAATTATATTTACAATAAAGCAAGTTATAAGTAATTTAGAAATATGAAAAATTCTTTTTCTGCTTTTTCTCAATCTGTCTAAATATTTTTTACTAACACTCAACCTCTTTTTTAGGTTAATTTTAAATAACTGAATAATTGTCGAATCTGAAATGAGCATGGTGTGAATTTTCAAGGTATTTTTAAAATAAATCAGGAATTTACAGTCTACAATATACGGTGAGTTATTATTTTTAATAATATGTTATCAGTAAATATACCAATTTATTTATTATTTATACAATTATTATAATAATTTACAGTGTTTCCAGCAGTCAGGGAAATTTTTTTGTCAGGGAATTTAATTGAAAGTCAGGGAACTTTTTAAAAATTTGCCAAAAATGAACATTTTTATGAATTTAAAAAATTTTTCAGTTTAAGAAAAAGTTTATAATGCTAATAAATAAAATGTTTTTTATTATCTTAAAAATACTTTAATATTTGATACTTTTCATTTTTTTAATATAAAATATTTATTTAAAAAAAGTTAGAAATAGGTTAGAAAAAAGTCAGGGAATTTCAGGGAAAAGTTAGAGAATTTTTTTTGTACTTTTTGCTGGACACCCTGAATTTACTTTATTTTCTAAATGCAAGTTGAAATTATTTTTTTTTTTAAATGAAATTTGAAATTATTATCCAAATGAAAATATTTGATACTTTTTATCAATTACTTTCATTTTTCTGTTTTAAAAACATTGAAAAATATAAATTAATTTGAATCATAATTTTCATTAAACGGCATTATAATTAAAAATTTGTAAATAAAATTAGTAAAAAATTTATGATATAAATTAATTGATATTCAGAAAAGGTTTTAGAATAAGACAAGTAAATATTTGTTGTTCATTATTCAGAAACTTTATTTTTTAAATACACTAGCCGACTACTGCATGCGTTCGGGGCGTTCGGAATCCTGAACGAGATCTAAAGTGCTTTTGTCTTGTTTTTTGTTTATTTTATTTTATTTTTTTCGTTAGTTCTAGAGAACATATGAGGTTGTTATTTTTCGTGTTTAGTTTCTTTTTAAGTAATAGCGCGTTATACATTATATTTTATGTATAATCTAGAGCCTGTTCGCGTCGAGGCGTTCGAATATCATTCTCTTATAAAATACAGATCTCTTGCACATCCTTATATATTCCACACACGAAAAAGAATAATTAATTATATAATTTTTTTTTTTCATGTTTTTCTCACAAAATAGAAAAAGTATATTTATCACAATTATGACACTGACAATTTCATATTCGATGAAAGCGTCAGTTTTTTTTTTTTTTTTTTTTTTTAAGACAAAATGGAAAAAATCGCAGAAAGAATTCGATCGACCGAACGCGACGCGACCACATATATCGGATTTATATTTATATATATATATATATAATCGTATTTATAATATTTATATACAGTGGAGAGGAAAAGGATTCGATGCTTTTCGGATGTACATTACATTTAAAATATATTATGCAACCTCCATAGCACGATTATATTGCTAATTATTTTTATTCATATTTTTCATATTAACTATAGAGATCTTTCTTTGCACAATTTAATTTTTTTTTATATCATAAATACGCAATTTTTGTAATTTTGAAATTTAGAAAATAAGAACAATTTCTTTTTTATTAAAAAGAAAATGTTATAAATTCTTATGTTTTTTTTTTTGATAATTTAGAAAAAATGTGCTAAAAAACGTAATTTTTATTTTGAAAAATTCTAAACTTTAGAAAAACTTATTAAAAGCTACAATGAAATTATAATTATTTAGTAATACTTAAAATATTTTTTCCAAATTTTTTTTATAAATTTGATATTAAAGTTTAGAATTTTCTTATAGAAAAATTTTTCTTAACTTTCATATCTATGTTTTAAATCATAAAATATTTTTCCAAAAAAAAAATTTGTTCATTATTTTCTTTCAGTGTAATTTGAATGTAAAAATTGTAAATTCACATTTTTTTGTTTTGTTTGTACGATAGAAATTCGAAAAAAATATCGCAATTTCCGAGGAGCGTCATTATCCTATTAATCCACCTTCGTATTTTTATAAAGTATAATGCCTTATGAATCTAAAACTTATGTTGATATATTGCACATTTGACAACAGTTACGTTTCTTTAAGTACTCGGGTATAGGAAGTTTGTTAAAAATTCATTTCAATTGTCGCGCTTTCTTTCTTTCTCTCTTTCATTTTTTTCGCTTCATTTATTTTTTTCTCTTTCTCTCATTCCCTCAAATAGTCGCGCGCGCACATACATTCATTCACAAATTATTTCCTCTCGCACCTCGCACGGATTTATTCATATTTACTTTGTTTCAGCATCTCATTTTCACTTGCCATTACCGCTATCCTTTACAAGCTTCGACAGTTTCGTTGAAAGTTGCACAATAGGTACCTTTGAATTATCTTTTTTTCTTTTTTTTCGATGTGAGCTTGAGTATCTTTTAGGTTTTCTCTTTTATTTAAATTTTCGTTTTTTTTCCTGCTTAAATCTGACGTCTGGTTTTTCGTTGCGAGTTATCATTGAAGTTACTGAAGTCGATATTTGCTTTTATCCATGACTCGTTGCAAAAAGCGAATGGAAAATGTAATTCGATTTACGAATTGAGCACTTTTGCATGACTCCAAATTACACAATTCTCGGTTTGCAAATGGAGTGGAAAAATGGACAAAGCTGCGTCTATTTAAGCTAAAAGCCACGTAAAATTAACATGATAATTTTTTGTACAGATAGAATAATCTTTCAAATTTTAAATTAAATTAAAACAAAATAATTTTTAAACATATTTACATGGTTAATTTATTATAAAATTTAATTATTTATAAAATAATTTAAAAAAATTATTAATTGTAGAAAAATAATATTTTTTTATTTTAATTTTATTGTTTAAATAATTTAGATTAGAAATGTCCATTTGATTAATCAATTTAAATAATTAGATAAATAAATATTTTTAATTAAAATTTCTAAAGATTAAAAATATTTTTACAATAAAAGAATATTTATTTTATTCCAGTGCGAATAATCCTGTAATTTGACTTTGAAAATTTAAAAAAAACTGTTTTATTTCAACAAATGATTTTTATTTGTCAATTATTATATCCCACTTATTCATACAAACTTTTTAAAGTCATGCAAAAGTGTTCAAAATTTGTAAACTTAAAAAAATAAAACTACAAATTAAAAAAAAAAAACTAAATATTTTATGTAGAATCTTTGATTAAATTTTTATTTGTAATTGATACTATATGTTTATAAAAAAATTGTCTATATCGTTCAATTGTATTCTCAGTTTAAATATTACTCGTTGTGCTTCATTTATAAATTTTTTTTTTGTATTTAAAGAAATTCCTTTCGATTTGCGACACCGAGAATTTTTTGTATTTTATTAACGAATAACTACTTACTGCCACGTTTTCATAGATAAAAACTATACGCAGTTCTTTTTTTTTACACGTGTAAGTCAGCTATTAACATATAGATATTCGGAATACCGAAGTTATCTTCAATCTTTGATCCGATTTATTTTTCAATTTTACAATTGTCGATGCATTTCAGTATTTTTTTTCGTCTCAGATATATACACTGAGTTTTCATTTCGTTGCTGTCGATTAGACTTATTTCTTTACTTTCCAAAATTCGATTATTACCACACCTGTTTATATTTTGCGCAATGATACGAAAATAATTCCTGTAAGGCTGCCAAATTATTTTTCTATAGTTAAAAAAATTTTCTAATTAAAAAACAAATTGTCCACTTTATGTTTTTCATTGCGTATAAAATATGAAATAGGATTATTTTTAAAATTATTTTCTGATTCGAAGAGAAAAAATTTTTTTTTTTTAATATTGAATTCAAAAATTTGGTTTTTGTGAACCAGCACCAACCGTCTACTTACAATTTTTTTTTTTTTAATTTAATTTTTTGTGAGAAATTTACACATTATACGCATTCAACAATCGAATCGCTCGGGGAAAAATTTATATATATATATAATAGTCATTATATGAGAGTATATTAATACTTTTATCGATAGTGTTTAATGACTTTTCTTGTTCGGAAATTTTACTAAATTTTTGAGAATAAAATGCTTTCTTCACGTTGCGTTTAACGCTTTTTGCACTTTTAATGTATTTCTTTTTTTCCTTTTAGGCATCTAGTTCTTTAACGTCTTGCTTAATTTGATAAAACATAATTGTTTACAAGTTATTCTATTAAGCAAGAAGTTAAGATATTCACTTTTAAATAGAAATTTTTAATTTCTTTACACAGAGGCGTGAAGCGTGCTAGGTTGTGCTGTAGTTTGATACGAAGTACTTCCTGGCGCTGACGCCGGTTGCAAACTTAACTGCAACTGATGTTGTTGAGCTTTCGCTCTTAGACACGCGATGCTTTCATTTCTAAGCTGCTCTGTATCCTGAACTCCACCTAAAATTAAAAATAAATTTTCAATTAGAATAAACAAATTCAACGTGCGTAGCTTTGGAATTAAATTCTATTTGAAAAAAAAAATCCTTTATACTTTTAAAATTAAAAGTTTTGTAGCAATAAGAAAAATAGATCTAAAAATTAAAATTTGTCAATTTTCGAGTGTCAAAAAATGTAATTACAATGCTTAATAAGTCTGGAGTTGACTTTTCAAATTTTTTGTACATCTTTACTAAATACTTATTGTAAAGACATCAGAAACGACTTTAATTAAAATATAATATGATGGCATTGTTGAAACATAATAGTTTTGATTTTACATAAACTGAAAAAATAGACGTAAAACATAAAAATAAAATAAAAGACTTAAATTTGAATATGACTTTGAAAAAAATAATACATGAAAAGTCGACGCATGTGATTAATTTTGGAATAATAATAATAATAATAATAATAATAATAATAATAATAATTTTCTAATAATATAATTAAATATACTTGCCCGAGGATGATGATGGACCCATGCCGTCTTGACTCTCCTGTCCACTCTCGGAACTAGTAGGCCCTCCCTGGTGATGGTTGTGGTGAGGACTGCTTCCGCTTTCAGGATGGTCATTTCCGCTGTCCTCGCCACCCGATTTCAGATGCTCCGCCGCCTCAATGGACTTTCGATGCATCCCTACAGGGCCACAGTCAATCAGTTCACGTTGATTATTTTCGAAATCTTGACTAAAGCTGCTTGACTTAGAATGTTGCGCTGATAGAAATGGACAGAAAAAGATTCGAGAATTTCGAAAGATTAATCATTTTTTAATTTTGTTAATCTCTATCTCTTATATTTTTCTGGCACATTTTTTTTTTTTACTAATATATGCTTTTTTATATACTATCCGGATTTTCTTATGTTTCACAAAAAATTTTATTAAAAATTTTTTTTTTGAAACATTTTAATTCGAAACTCTCGAGAACTAAAAAAAATAAAAGAAGCGAAACATAAATTGCGAAAATAAAAAATTTTTTATATAAATTGTGTATTTACCTAGAAGCCATGGTGCAACTGACTCGTTTTCCTTGGCACTTTTTAGAATAGTTTCCGGCAACGGTAGCGAATGTCTCACCATTGCCCCATAAAGACCATACTCGGCCATTATGGTACTCCTACCCCAACATTTCTCCGTTTTTCGCCATTTCGCCCTTCGATTTTGAAACCACACCTGTAATCATAAAATTTTTGTTATAGAAAATAATAGAAAAATAATTTTATTTTCGTTTAACGAAATTGGTTTATTTGCTGGGATTTTGATTCACATTCAAAAATGTTTTCGTTATTAATTAAGTGATTATTAATAATAATTATGTTATTAGTCAGAAAAATTGGCGTTCATATCGACGCCAAGTTCTAGAAAACTATACCTAAGTCATATTTTCAAGATTTTTGTGTTATTCGATTATTTTAGGTTTAGTCTCGATGCCACATTTATTTTTGTCAAATTTGAAAATGAAATTTTTTAAAGCTTTCTATATCACCGACCGGTTAATAATTTAACTACATGTTAGTACAGCGCTGACAGTATTTTAATGTTTCTTTTTGCAGATTCTATCCTCAATGGCTTGTGGTGTCACGTACTTGAAAGATAAGGGCAAAAGTAAAAAAGGGTATCTTAAAGGACACAGAATTCTTCATATTCAGACATTTTAGAACTCGGTCTATTTTTACGGTTATTTTTCACATTTTCTGAATGGAAATTTAACTTGAAAGTAGGGATCTCCGAGGGCTATTTAGTTTTGAAAGAATCTCCTTAAAGCTTGTTTAATTGCGATATAAGGAAACTGGAAATCATGGAGTTGAAAATAATTATTAAGTTGTTTAATCAGTCTATAAATTGATTTATTTAAATCACAACAAATCCTTAAATAGAAGGCTATATGAGATCACAGTAATTTAGATCAATCATGTGTACAAACAATTTAATAAAGTACTAAAGATTCATATAGAACAAAAAAAATGACCCGGCTTTCCTCGCGTACATTATTACAATTATTGACTATTCAAAGAAATCTCTACGAAATTCAGGGAATCAAGACAATGATACGAGGAGTAATTACAAGATAGCCTATGGACAGGCACTAAATTTATAATACATTCTTTTCATTCGTTCGTTCTTAATTTATTGGAAAAGTTTATTACAAAAAAATAATTTTTTTTTTATTTAACTTGAATGTAGGGATTTCCGAGAGCTATTTAGTTTGAAAAAATCTCCTTGAAGCTGAAAATTTGTTATTAAGGTAAATATTTTAATTTATTGGAAAAGGCTGCCGAAGCTGTCACTTTGTTTTGTTTTCGTGTCGTTATTCGAGGAAAAAAATGTGTAGCGTTCGTATAGTGTCCTCTGTTCAAGAATTGTTATTCTTTATTTATTATTTATTCTTTATTTATTTGTATAAAATAATTATTATTTGAATCAATTGAATGGTATTTGTTTCAAATACAAAAATTATTGGTTCAAATAGAATTTATTTGGTTCAAGTAAATATTTATATTTGATAATAGTCAAGTAATCAAGTATTTGAATCAAATAATTTTTTTTTCAGTGTGTTTAAGTACCAAATGAATACTAAATAAAAATCTTACAAAAAATATTTTAATTAATTAAAAATGACGTCACGATAAAAATTCCCCGCCCGTGTAATGAATACAGAGCCCGCTTTATTTTTTTTGCAATTAATTTTTATAAATTAAATTAAAAATTTATTAATTAAATTTAAAAAGTTAGGTATTCTTTTAGAAATATTTCTTTCAGTACCAAATAATTATTCCATTGACGCAGGTCTTTGGTATATATATTATATAGGCTTTGTTCGGTATCAAACTCGTGAATGGGTCAGTTCCGTTTTGTGATTAACTAGCAAACTAGAAAATCTCCAAAGCGAGAAAGCAGAGGGGGATGAGGTTGTTATCCAATTCTTCATGGTCCAGAATCCAGTTAGACTTTTTGCTAACGATTCTTTCAATTCGACCACCTACTGTGCCTGAGTCGCGTGGCAAATCCAAACTCCCTGCTTCTCGCAAAGTATCAGTTTTAATGACCTAAACTTTGTGTAAACTTCTAAACGGGCACGATAAATGTATTTTTTTTCTTTTTTTGATCATTCATACGAAATATTTGATAGAATTTTAATGACTTTAATATTATATTGAGAATTGAATTTGTTAATTTTTATTATCACAGAAAATTGTATATTGTATTAAAATATATATGATATTATTTCAATATAAAAAATTCGATTAAAATATACTTAAATTGAATTAAAATAAAAGCATTATGCATCTTCCTTTAAATACAATACAATTTGATTAATATTATTTTTTAAAAACCTTTTTTAATCTTTTGTTGGCTAATAAAAATTGTTTGTGATTCCAATATATATTTTTGATGAAAATTTTTTGTTTCTTTCATTATGAAAGCAACAAACCTGAGAGGATTCGAATTCCTATATTAAAAAGTGTCTAACGCAAAACTTTGCAACGATTAACGCACCTGACAAACATGGTCTGAATAGAATTTAGGTATAAATAACAGTTAAATGTCATTTCTACTATATAAATGGCAACTATATAGAAATTTAAAAAAAAATTTTTTTTAGAAAATTTCGTGCTTCTAAAATTTTTACCACAAAAATATTTTAATAACATAACAAAAGGTTCTATATATTTTTAAAACTCTGTCTCTTCTATAGTTATTTTTCAATTTCTATACAGTGTTGTGTTGTCAAAGTCAGAGATGGATATCGCTTATATTTTATAAAACTATTCTTCTCTTCATTATATTGTATATATCTGAAATAAATTTCTCTCTGTATTTGGCCTTTATTAGGGGGTTCTTTATATACGAATATAATATCCGAATTAAACTTTTCGTACGTGACGATCGCTGAATGTTATTAAAACGCTAGGCACGAATGATTTTGTGGACCATGTGGATGAGACAGTAGAAAGTGGTGGAATGGGAGGGGGGCATGCCTGAGGGAAGGGCGTGTACCAATTTGTAGCAACAATGCTAAAGTCACTGACAGAATTGGAACGTAATTCAAATGAATGAAAACGCGTTGCCCTGTCAATTTGCACTGCCACCCTGGAATTATTTTCCGCTTACGTTTGATCGAACTAAAGGCTTTTTATATGTATACGCAGTATATAGATTTTGTAATGGTCATAGTTATTTTCATATATATATATACACACACACGTAAAGTGTAACAAGAATTACATTGTTGCTTTTTATATAACGATAAAGTAAAAAAAAAAATGTTTTGTAAATGTCAAGTTGTAATTATATACTTTACCGGAAAATTACACTTCTTTACAGAAAAATTAAAAATATATACGCGGAAAAAATTTCACCTTTTGAACAAAAAATGTAAATGTAAAAACTCAAAAAAGGTCGTAATATTTTTTTCTTTTTTATCAAATAGAAATTAAATTTGACAAATGAAAGAAAGAATCAAACACCTCCTTCTCGTATAGAAAGCAAAGGTTTAATTCATAACTATGAAATACAAAATGGAGAGAATATTGAAAAAGAAATCAAAGCAAGTCTCTAAAGACAAAATAGAGGTTAAATTCGACAAATTAAACATTCCAACTCCACCTTTTCACATTAACATTTTTTGTTTAAAAAGTAAAAAACTGCGAATGCGAAAAAGAAATTTTACCGGAATCTTTTTTCATTAATATTTTGTGCGAGGTTCTTTAACTGCAAAATTTAATTTTTCCCATACTTATATATCACTCGCGTATTTATCGATAATAATCGACGAGAAAAGAGTCCTTACGTTAAAAAAATTTTAGGTTATGTTTGTGATTTTTGGAAAGGAAATACTCAGAGAATGAATTCTCAATTTAAAACACTTATGTTTAAGTCAGGGAATTTTAATCCAACGGAAAGTATTCATAGTTTTTGTATTTTTTAATAAAAATTTTAATCATTTTATCTATTTTTCTTTTATTAATAAAACTATTGTCTACTTAAAAAACAATATAAAAATTTAAACAATGTAAAGTTTTAAAATATTCTAAAAATTTTTAATCAAGGAAAAAGAAAAATTCGTTAGGAAAAAGGGAATTTTGAAAAAGAGATTTTGCGGCCACCCTGCCTAATTAAAAATAAACTTTTTATCCTTTTTATCCAAGTAAACACTAAACATAACCTAAAATTTTGTTGACGTGAAAAAACGATTGGAAAACAAAAGTTTTAAACTGAAAGTTTCAATAAGAAAAAAGTTCCAAAATTTAAAGGATCCAACATTTATTTTTCCAAAAGTAAAAAATTCCAATTTATGAAAGTTTCAAAATAAAAAGTTTTGAATGTGAAATAAATGAAGAGTAGAAATATTGTTTGAAAAAAATTAAAACTGTAAATAATATATAGAATTTCCAATATTTTTTTCCAATGTTGTATATTAATTCTAACATTTTTATTATTTATTTCAATACTTTTTTTTAACTATTTTAATATTTATAATTTAACTAAAATTTTTAATTTTACTGTTTACAATTTAACTGAAATTTATAAGGTCACTATGATTTTGGAAACAACGATTGTCAATGTACATTGAAAATAACAAATGAAAGTTTTCTGACTTAAAGTTGCATTTTCAAATTGGAAAAATAAAAGAAAACAATGTTTGAAAAAAATGTCCTTTGGGAAAATAATACTTTGGGTCCTTAGGTATTGGAACTTTTGTCCCTATACAACAAACATCCTCTTGTGTTGTGGAATGTCACATATATTATAGAATATATGAGTTATAGATATAGGTTTAAAAAAAACTGTAGTTTAGATAACAAAAATTTTGTAAAACTTTCATTAAATTGTACTAAACACATTAATTTTATTAAAACTGATAAAAATTAGGTATTTTAGAACAAAGTTTTTTTAATCAAACAAGCCGAAATTCTGTTTGTAGTAATAATGAAAAGACAATTGAACAAATGCCAACAAAATGTATTGTTACACAATTCAAAATATTTATTTCAATGCTTCTGTGTTTTTAACTAATTTTATATGCGCGCAAACGAATTTTTTCATGAAGATTGAAAATTGACATATAAGACTGGGAATTAAAGGTTAGGGGGGGGGGGTAATATTTTTTCTGCGTATCTACCCCTTCGTTCTTTTTTTTGTATTTCTTCTCCACCTCCTCTTTATTGGCACACCCCGTATAATAAGGAGAGAGTTTGTATTTAGACGACCATGCGCAGTACTCTGTTGGCGTATCATCGATCAGACCGACGACTGACTATTGGACCAAAACAAGAGGATGAGAATGGAAATGGAAATAAAGAGAGAGGAGGGTAGATCGAGCGAGGTTGGAAAACGTTAGAGAAGTAAGGGAGGATATCAAAGCGAGAGGGAGAGAGAGAGAGAGTTTAAGGGATGAGAATAGAAAGAGATAGCATTATAGTACTATAGAAAAGAAACCACGGGGAAGTTTTCTTTAAATCTTAGAAATTGGTTGCTCAACTTTTATTTTCTTATTCATTCAAGGATATAACATTTCTTTCAAAATGTTATGAATTCTTTTCTCGTCGATTTGTTTAATTGAAGGAAAAAAAATTGTTGCAAAATTCGTTCTTTTATTATATCTGTCCATAATCAGTAGTATATAAAAATTTTAAAATAATAAATTTTAAGCATATAAATAAATTTGAATCGATGGAAATAATTTGCAAAAAATGTAAAAATGCCTTTTTGTTTATAAAATAAAACGAATAATTTGATAAAAATTATCGTTTTAAAGTGTCATCACTCAAGTTGTTAATTGCTCTTGAAAAATAATGACAAAATCATGTATGGGTAGGGAGGAAAACAATTTACACATTTTATTATTCATTAAGTCGCGATATGTCATTGGGAAAAACGTGTCGATGAATTTGGAAGAGTGGTGTATGTGCGAATACGTGTTATTCTGCACATGGCGCATATGTATAT